CTCCTGCACGGCGCGCCCTCTGTTGTCGCCGCCGCGGGAGCGCTCGCGAAGCCAGCGGGGCCGCCACCGCTGGGCGGCGGCGACTTCGAGGGCCGCGGCCTCGAGGGCGACCTCCTCGGGGGGCTGGGCGGGAGGAGGATCCTCGAGATCCGACGCTCCCAGAAAGTTGGGGCGGGCGGTTCTTGGCCGTTTTCGGCCTCCGGGGGCCCTCGCCGGGCCTCGGGAGCGCCAGAAAACGACTTGGGATGCAAAAGCTGGCCCTAGGGAAGTGGTCCGAACCTCCAGGGCCCACGCATGGAAACATTTGGAGCAGCGATGGGTCGGCGGCGAGCGAAAGGGGGGGGAAGTGAGAAGGAGAAAGGAGGCCTTCTCAGAAGACAGCGGGGCTTCTCAGAAGTGCTCTGGCCTTCTAAAAGGTTTTCTACATATTCGCGGAAGGCTTACACATTCTCAGAAGGCCCGGGGACTTCCGAGATAGGACGGGCATGTCCCCCTGCAGGGGGATTGTGGACAAAAATCAAAAATACTCCAGAAACGCCCGGAGATGGTCCGGAATTGTCACAAGATGGTCCCCCGAACATTTTTAAAACTATTTTAAAAATGTTCCTCCTGCAGAGGGACGCGCCCGACTTAAGCCTTCTGTCAAGGCCCGCCCCTTCTCACTTCACCCCCGGGCTCGCCGTCGGACGAGGGCTCGGACCTCCGACGACACGATCGGGAACGTTGGCTTGACGTGCGGCCCCAGCGACTCGCTGTGCCCTGCAAGCTGGCCGCGTGCCACGCTCCCCTACGCTGGGCGGGAGGCCAGGAAGGGCTCGGGCCGTTGACGCTTGAGAACGGGGACGTGGATAGCGCGTCGCGCCGAAGGAGTGGTGGGCCAGAACTTCTCCCTCGATGCTGGCCTCTGGGGCCAGCCATCGGGCCTCGGGGCCATCCAAAATGGCTCTTGGACGAGAAACTGCACCGGGGGCAAGGGTCGGGAGTTCCGGGCCCGACGGCTCACAAAATCATGTCGCCGGGCGTCTTGGAATGGCAAGAGGGGGGAAGGGGGAATCAGCGAATCGGCTGCGCGCGGCAGGTCTTTTCGGGGCCTCCCGGCGCTGTAAGGGACCGCGCATCGGAGCGCGTCGAAACTCGAACCAGGATAGGCGCAGCAGATTTCGACCCTCCCCCCCCCCCCCGCGCGCCGCCGCCGCCGCCGCCGCCGCCGCCGACGACGACGACGACGACGACGACGACTACGACGACGACCCGACGACGACGACGAGCCACACCTCTTCCCTGTGGACCCAATCCCCCCTTCCCTTCCCTTCGTCCGTCCAGATCCTCGCGTGGGGCGTGGACCTCGCGGCGGCGGCATGGCCCTGCCGAGGGGGGCCGAGGGGGGGGGAAAGAGGAAGAGAGGCGAAGGAGGGACGGCCAGAGGACGATCGGCAGCCCGACTTCAGATCTCACCGATCAGGAGCAGGCGAGGCACGCAGAAAATCATCCCTGATACGCACACTGCGCTCGTTTATGCCCCTGGAACCCGAGGGGTGATCTATATATATATATATACATATATATATATACAATATATATATGTATATATACATATACATATATACATATATACACACTTATCTATAAATATATATATATATAGACAAGACTGGTTTGACGTTTTGTGCCATACGTGTTGTTCCGGACCCTCCCCGGCAAAGCAATATATCATCGTTTACTTCAGCGGGGGGGGCCTCGAAGACTGGAGGGGCGACTGGCTCATTTTCTGATATCCCTGGTGCCTGCTGACACCGCGTTCGCCCGATGCACTTGCACACTTGTGCGCAGGAATGGGGAAATAGTGATGATCATTTGACGAGCGAAGGTCCTTTTCAGGAAGCACAGAGCGTCCCCATGACACGCCGAAGAAGTCGCATCTGCTCCGAACAAATCGATGTTTGGTAGCTTCCTGAATGCCTGGGGGGCTCCAGGCACTCAGGAAATCTTCGGTCGTCGAACTTCGAATCTAGATCCATAGCCTGTCTCTCTCGATCGAGGAACTTGAACCTCGAGCCTCCAGCGTGGAACCAAGATCGTCGGGTCGGCTCGATGTACTTCGTAAGAAAACGCCGTCTGGGCGTTCTGGGGGCTCTTTGGGGCCGTCTCTTGGGCCGTCCCGGGGTCTTCTTGGGCCGTTTTGGGGGGCTGGGGCCCTCCAGAGGCCTTCTCAAGCCATCTAGGGCCCTCTTGGGGCTTCCAATGGCCTTCTTGGGGATCTCCCATGGCTTTCGGCGGTCGCTTTCGGGAGCCTTTTGGGGACATCTTGGGTTTCTTGCGGGCAGTCTCGGGGCTCTCTGGGGCAGTCTTGGGGCCCTCTTGGGCCGTCTTCAAACTTCTGGGGGGCCCCGTTGGGCCGTCCTGGGGCGATATCGGGGGCCCATCGGGCCGTCTTGGACGCTGCGAAGTCCCAAACAGCAGATATGGTGAGCTTATACGCTTTCGCGAAGGAATGGGACGATTGTTGTTTCTTCGGGGCTCTCTTAACAGTTTCTTGGGGCGTCTTGGGGGCCTCTTGGGCCGTCTTCAGACCATGGAGGTTCCTATTGGAGCGCTCTTGTGCTGCCTTGGGTCTCTCTTGCGCCTCTCCGACGACCCCTCTGATCGCCTTGAGTCTGCTCGCAAGGCTCGGCAAAGCGCCCTGGGGGGCTCGGAAGGGCCAGCGGACCTTTTCCCAAGGGCGTCCAGGGGGCCGCTGAAACGTCCGAAAGGGCGTCCAGGGCATCCCTGGGGGGGGTCCAGTTTAGGGGGGGGGCTGGGGGGGTCCAGGTAATACAAATAAAAGAATAAGAATATATAGACAAGACTGCATTGACGTTTCGTACCATGCGTGTTGTTCCGGACCCTCCCCAGCACAGCAATAACTCATCGCTTACTTCAGCGGGGGGGACCTCGAAGACTGGACGGGCGACCAGTTCATTTTTCTGATATCCCTGGTGCCTGCTGACACCGTGTTCGCCCGATGCGCTGGCACGCTTGTGCGCGGGAGTGGGGAAATAATGATGATCTTTTCACGCGCGAAGGTCCTTTCAGGAAGTAAGGAGCGTTCCCATGACACGCCGAAGAAGTCGCAGCTGCTCCGAACAAATCCATTATTGGTAGCCTTCTGAATGTCTGGAAGGCCCCAGGCATTCAGGAAATCTTTGATCATCGAACTTCGAGTCTAGATCCATTGCCTGTCTCTCTCGATCGAGGAACTTGAAACTCGAGCCTCGAGCGTGAAATCAAGATCGTCGGGTCAGCTCGATGTACTTCGTAGGAAGACGCCGTCTGGGCGTTTTTGGTGCTCTTTTGGGCCGTCCTGGGGCCATCTTGAGCCGTCCCGGGACCTTATTGGGCCGTCTTGGGGAGTTGGGGCCCTCCAGAAGTCTTCTCCAGCCATCTAGGGCCCTTTTGGGGGGCTCCAATGGCCTTCCTGGGGGTCCCCCATGGCTTTCGTGGGTCTCTCTTGGGAGCCTTCTGGGGGCATCTTGGGTTTCTTTCGGGCAGTCTCGGGGCTTTCTGGGGCAGTCTTTGGGGCCCTCTTGGGCCGTCTTCAAGCCCTCTGGGGGGCCTCTCGGGTCGTCTTGGGGCGATGTCGGGGGCCCATCGGGCCGTCTTGGACGCTTCGAAGTCCCAAACAGCGGATATGATAAACTTATACATATCCGGAGGGAATGGGACGATTGTTGCTTCTTCGGGGCTGTCTTAACAGCTTCTTGAGGCGTCTTCGGGGCCTCTTGGGCCGTCTTCATACCATTGAGGTTCCTATTGGGTCTCTCTTGCGCCTCTCCGATGACCCCTCTGATCGCCTGGAGTCTGCTCGCAAGGCCCGGCAAGGCGCCCTGGGAGGCACGGAAAGGCCAGCGAACCTTTTCCCAAGGGCGTCCAAGGGGCCGCTGAAACGTCCGACAAAGCGTCCAGGGCGTCCCTGAGGGGGGTCCAGTTTACGGGGGGGGGGCGGGTAATAAAAATATAAGACTAGGAATACATACACACATGTATATCGGGACGCGTGGCGTTTCCAGGGAAAGGGGTGGAGGGAAAACCTCCTTCTCCTCCTCCTCTTCTTCCTCCTCCTCCTCCACCCTCCTCCTCATTCTTCATCCATCCTCATCCCTCCCTCGTCCTCCTCCTCCTCCTCCTCATCCTCCTCCTCCTCCTCCTCCTCCTCCTCCCTCCTCCTCCTCCTCCTCCCTCCTCCTCCTCCTCCTCCTCTTCCTCCTCCTCCTCCTCTTCGTCCTCCTCGTCCTCCTCCTCCTCCTCCTCGTCTTCCTCTTCCTCTTCCTCGTCCTCCTCCTTCAAATCCTGGTCCTTTTCATCCTCTTCCCTCCTCCTCCTCCACCTCCGCCTCCGCCTCCTCCTCATCATCCTCTCCTCCTCCTCCTCATCCTAATCATCCTCATCAGCAGCATCATCATCAACATCACCATCATCAGCCGCATCATCATAATCAGCCGCATCCTCATCATAACCAGTGCCAGCATCATCAGCATCCTCCTCATCATCGTCACCATCATCACCATCATCACCATCATCATCATTGTCATCGTCATCATCATCACCACCATCATCAGCAGCAGCATCATAAGCACCAACAGCATCCGCATCCCCATCATCAGCAGCATCATCAACATCATCAGCACCATCATCATCAGCATCATTATCATCAGCAGCAACATCATCACCATCAGCATCGTCCTCATCCCCCGTCTCGCCGCCGCATCACTTTTCATGTGTTGAATTATATTCCTATTCTTATATTTGAAATAGCCAGGAACCCCCCCCACCCACCCCCCTAAACCGGACCCCCCCCCAGGGACGCCCTGGACGCCCTTTCGGACGTCTCAGTGGCCCCCTGGACGCCCTTGGAAAAGGTCCGCTGGCCCTTCTGGGCCTCCCATGGCGCCTTGCCGGGCCTTGCGAGCAGACTCCAAGCGATCAGAGGGGTCATCGGAGAGGCGCAAGAGAGACCCAAGACAGCACAAGAGCGCTCCAATAGGAACCTCCATGGTCTGAAGAGTGCCCAAGAGGCCCCTAAGACGCCCCAAGAAGCTGTTAAGAGAGCGCCGCAGAAGCAACAATCGTCCCATTCCCTTCGGGAAAATGCATAAATTTAACATATATCCGCTGTTTGGGACTTCGCAGCGTCCAAGACGGCCCGATGGGCCACCGACATCGCCCCAAGACGACCCGAGAGGCCCCCCAGAAGTGTGAAGACGGCCCAAGGGGGCCCCAAGACTGCCCCAGAAAGCGCCGAGACTGCCCGAAAGAAACCCAAGATGCCCCTAGAAGGCTCCCAAGAGAGACCCACGAAAGCCATGGGAGACCCCCAGGAAGGCAACTGGAGGCCCCCCAAAGGGCCCTAGATGGCTGGAGAAGATTTCTGGAGGGCCCCAACTCCCCAAGACGGCCCAATAAGGCCCCGGGACGGCTCAAGAGGGCCCCAGGACGGCCCGAAAGAACCCAAAAAACGCCCAGACGGCGGTTTCCTACGAAGTACATCGAGCTGACCCGACGATCTTAGTTCCACGCTCGAGGCTCGAGATTAAAATTCCTCGATCGAGAGAGACAGGCAATGGATCTAGACTCGAAGTTCGATGATCAAAGATTTCCTGAATGCCTGGGGCCTTCCAGACATTCAGAAAGCTTCCAACAATGGATTTGTTCGGAGCAACTGTGACTTCTTCGGAGTGTCAGGGGAACGCTCCTTATTTCCTCAAAGGACCTTCGCGCGTGAAATGATGAAAAGATCAGCATTATTTCCCCACTCCCGCGCACAAGCGTGCAAGCGCATCGAGCGAACGCGGTGTCAGCAAGCACCAGGGATATCAGAAAATGAGCCGGTCGCCCGTCCAGTCTTCGAGGCCCCCCCGCTGAAGCAAACGATGATATAATGCTCTGCCGGGGAGGGTCCGGAACAAAGCGCATGGCGCGAAGCGCCAATGCAGTCTGGTATATTTTTTATACATAGACGTATGATTACATAGGTGTATTACGCGCTCGTGTACTCAGTATGTAGTATGTATTGTGGCCCCTCTCCGTCAGACCCCGCCCCGCTAAGGGCCCGGGAGGAGGAAGAGCGGGGTGTCTTGGCCGTGAGTGGGAGGGCCCTGGGCCTCAAGCCCGTGAGGAGAAGGAGTGTGGAGTTGAAAGGGGTTCAGAGACTAGTTAGTTCGGGGTGCTCCGTCTGGAAGAGACGGGGGTCCTTAGGCGGGATGGCGGGGTCTTTGTGCAGGACGGGAAGGGGGATCATTGGGCGGGAAGGCCCTCCGGCGCAGTGCCGAAAGCACGGGGACTCAAAATAAGACCACGCGAACTGGCTCCGGCGTGACTTGATATTGAC